TTCTAGCCCCACCTGTCTACTAGCCTCTAGTAAAACTTCTGCGTTCCTCTTCATTGTATTTATATCGTCCCCCAATAAATTAACATCATCAGCATATGCCAATAGCCGAGTTAATCTTTACAATGGAGAATATTAGGTTTTCTTTAGAATTACTTTTTCTTTGTACATTTTATCCAGTCGAGACTAAGGTGGTGCACGAGACTGATCATGGCTTGCAGCAGCCTCATCGAAGGACGCCAGTAACACCGTCACCTCTATTAGTGGGTGTCTGACGCAATGCGGTTGCATGCGAACTAAAAAAAGAAAGCTGGCGTTATGCCTTTCAGTGGGAATATTTTCAGTTATGAAGAACACGCGTAATTAATAAATGTGTTAAAATAGACCTTAAGGAACGTACAACTATTTCATGACAGACGTGTTAAAACTCTGCTATCTGACGTCGCACTGTCGGTCTGTTAAATAATTACATTTGTTATGAAATTATCATAATTAATACATCAAATGAAATATTAACGAACAAGGACAGCGGATTTTGTTTTTAACGTCTGAATCAGCGTTCGCTTAACTTCAAAGTCTTGATTTACGGGATAGAAATATGAGTTGAACAAAGTAGGTAGAAGTCGCGTCCTTTTGAAATGCTAGATAAATTGATCAAGAAATCATCGCAGTTTATTAAACTTAACTTTTGGGGTTCATTCCTCTGAGAAAGCATAACCGAATACTATCAACAGGTAACATTTGTATATAGGGCTGTACAGAGGTAGCTACTTCGTAGGTTTGTGACAAGTATTGTTATTAACGACAAATTAGACATACAGAGTACATTTTTCCGCAAGTTGTCCTTGCTGTTTTTATTTGGGAAATCATCTGTATACGGCGTCTGACGAGGGCCGCGTCTTATGTTTCGACCACGCTGCATCCATCTACAGGAGACAGGAAATTTACAGCAACACTGATGCCACATAGCATATGCCAATATAAAACGTAATGAAATGCAAAAGATCGACTACAATGACGCTATTGATATAAACCCTGAGAATGACTTTTCAAGGCGAAACACCGCAGAAAGAACTGACAATTCCATATGATGACACCATTTATATTTTCAGTATAAGACGTCCATAATTATAATTTCGAACGAAAAGGCAATGACACTGCAGTATTTTAACGGGAATGATCATAATTCATACACAAGGGGAAAAAGGAGTAAATGAAACTTGTTCACCAGGCAGTTTCTTCAACTCACACGCGGTAAAATATGAAGTCTCGGGCTGTCATTCGTATTGATTCGCATCCCAGCGTCTTGGAGACTGTTGCTACATCCATCATAAGGAGACATCAATTATAATGGAAGCAGAGACAGTCTCCGGGTCGTAGGAGGTTAACTACGTGTTAAAATAGTGAAATTAGAAGCAGGCTAAAAATTAGGAATCTTTTAAATAAAATCACATAAAACGGGACTTTAGCGGACAAAAATAAATACTTACGTATTGAGAGGGATGGCGCAACAGCACAGGTGAACCAAAGGACTGACTGCTTGAGGCGCCAGGAGTCAGGGTCGTCCAAATCTCTGCCGTACCTCGGAAAGAAACTCCGATGCTTCGCACTAATTTCTGTTGCTCTCACATTATGAGACTGAGGAAGGGCGATTAAGAAAATAATTCACACCCGTGCACCGAATACTGCTTTCAGTTCAACGACAAGATCACAATTGCTGTGACCAGGCGACTTCGCACTTTGGCTCTTCTTTAAGAATTAAGTGTTTGGAAATTTCGTGGAATTTCTCGTCGTCTGAGGCAGCACAGTCTTGCGCCGACCCTCCTCACTGACATAATATTGTGTTTGCTGCGATATTTATTTGTTCCTTTTTTATACATTTCATTTTTTTTACTTCATACCTCTCACAAAATAGCAAAGTGTACACAAATAGCTATAATAATGCTTCAATATGATTTTACAATTATTTTACACAAAGTTACAGATATTATGCAATAATCAGCGTTACTGTTTACACTTACAAGTACTGTAAAAATGAAACGGCAGTTACGTAATCTGGAAAGAACAGCTTGGTGAAGTTGACAATAAGGAAGTTAAAAGTGACATTTGTACCGTAATATTTTTAAGTGGATTTTGTTTTCCACGTTAAAAGTTAAAGGCAATCTTCAAGGAACACAAATTATTATTATTATTATTTTCGCTTATTTCTTTTATTGCGTTTGATAATATCCTATTTCTTCCACTGCTGTATCTGTGGTGTACGTATTTTGATTCTTCTCCGCCACCTGCCTTTTTCAACTATGAATGAAAAGGGGCATATACAAATGATTTAGACTAACCTGAATTATGTGATTCTTGGTGGCGGTGGCCCCAGGTTATACTTCGGCCCGTTCCACATTGCCATCTCTCTGGCAATTTCCGTATTGCCTCACGAAATTATTGTTTGGGGGTGTCTCGTACCCACTCCCTGACAGCATCATGTAAGGCGTCACTATCGGGAATCGGTGACCACGCAGGGGATTCTTCATCTTACGGAAGAGGGCAGGTCGGGGGAATAGGGCGGGTGTGGGAGCACGGTGAACCCCAGCCCCTTACATGATGCTGTCAGGGAGTGGGTACGAGACACCCCCAAACAATAATTTCGTGAGGCAAAACGGAAATTGCCGGAGAGATGGCAACGGTGCATCGACCTCCAGGGAGAATATGTGGAACGGGCCGAAATGTAACCTGGGAGCCACCACAATCAAGGATCACATAATTCAGCTTAGTCTAAATCATTTGTACACGCCCCTCTAAATTATGCGTATATTTAATGCAAAAATATCGAGCTTATCAAGATTATTTTGAAAAAAACAAACGCATCAACCGTCACAATTGAAATATAAATAGGCCTACACAATAATATAATACAAAACACAACATTGAAGTTTGTGCAAGGTTTATAAAGTCGCATTGAAAGGAGACAGTCTTAAAGATCAAAACACGAAGGAAACGGCACCAACATCCCACAATCGCTAATGATTCTTGCTGTAGGAATCCTTATTTTGGTAACCCTGCACGTATCCTGAACTGTCAGGGACGTCTTTGCGACCAGATAACCCTTTGCCCTTGCCGCTCTCATCGAAACGTTGTTTATGGGCGCCGGTATATCGGGTGGTATCTGTAAGGCGATCCACAGCTGAAGACTTCCCTCCGCTCTGAAAAGGGCCGTAAAGTAACTGGTAATAGTTTCGTGCATGATAAAGAAAGATATTTTTATATTAAAGTAAGCAGCCTGATACTGTGTGTAAAAAATTAGAATTTTATGTTTTATATAATTCTCTTCTTAAACATCTCTATAAGACGCCCAGGATTTATATTCTCTCAAAAATGTTACGTTATGGTCACAAAAAAGACAAGGATATCGCACTTGGTAGAAAGTGTAATGAAGTTCACGTAACACAGTTTGGAATTAGTCAATTCTTAAGAAATTAGAGAAAGAAGAAATACGGAAATCTCTCGTGCAAACAAAATAAATCTGGTTATTGGACATTACCGAAACAATGTAAACGTTATAGGGAACATGCCGTTTGATTTATAATACCTGCCTTGCACGTGTTCGCGTGCAAACTGTGACCTGCATAAAATACTGCTATTCACATTTTTTTTAAAGTTACTGCACTCTTTACATTTAAGCACACTCCTAATACTGAAACAATCCGACATAACGTACTGTACATGAATTACAGAAAGCGTGATGTAACTTGTGTTACACACCTTCCTTTGCCTTCGACTGGTAAGGATAAAAAACAACTCATTAATCTGAAGGTCGTTAAAGGAATGGACGTCATTTTGAAGCTCTGTAAAATTTTTACTTTCAAGACGTCTTTCCTCACCACAAAAAGAGTTCTATTTTCATTGATCTATTTTAATAAAATTTCCTCATCCAGAAAAAAATCTTAAACACTGTCATAAAAATGTGTTCCTACCGGGACACCTGTAAGCCCTGGACATCCGCAAGAAGCCATTTTGGATTTAATTTCCTCCAGGTCGATTTTCTTGTTCTTGGCCATGTCCTCGAGAAACTTGTCGTAGTCGTCAGCACCCAACTTTTGTTGTCTGAAACAATGAACAAGTCACTCAAACGTATTTTTGTTTCTCTACAACAGGGCAGAATACGATGTCAGACAAAATGTAGGCCTACGCCTACGCCAACGAAATTGATAAAGTCATTTATAATACCGGTATACGAATTGGTAAATTACCTGACAAATTTACGTCATGGACTGTAGTAAGAAAAGGCAAAATGACAGAAAATTGCAGCAGCTAAAATAAGACAACAAAGGTTTAGCAAGACCAATGAGGAACACAGAGGTCACTACGAATTTTGATTCTCTAAACAAGAAAGGGGGGGATAGCAAGCGAAAGGGTTACGAAACATTGATTCTGTGATCCAGAAACCAACGTCGCGACACGGCGCGTTTCACTCACAATTCGTATTCGGGAGGTCCCATGTTCGAATTTCGGTTTGACATGCGGCTATTACAGAGAAGGATTCTCATTGTTTTCCTCAGATACTCTTGATAAATTATTCTATAATTCCTTAAAATAGGGCACGACCGCTGCCTTCCACGTACTTTCAATTCATAATTTACAATCACGCTACCTTTCGACTTTACATAACCTGTGGATTTGATAATGCATCGTTAAATACACCAAGACTAATTAATCGACGTCCGGAACTTAAGCTTATGTAAACTCTTAAATGTACAAAGTAATGGTAACAACAATGATTACTAATAGTCTAGTCTGAAATATTTAATTTTCAAAAAGAAAATTTACATTAAATTTTAAAAGCCAAGGATAGCGCGGGGCTTGATAAATGGTTTAAATCTCGTCATGTGGCTTTGACATCACATGAGTTTTTTAAAATTCTTGAATACGAACAGTGTAGCGTATTTACCTACTGTTATTAAAAGAGTCCCGTGTTCGATCCCAACCGTCGCCATTAATATCAAAATAAGAAAAGACAAAAGATGTGCCAGCGTGACATATAATTACATAATCATGCGAAGACGGGAATATAGCAACTATGGATATGTCGCGTACATCAAGTATACGTCACACAGGGTAAAATGAAGAACATAGTATTCCTATGAAGAAACAGTGAAACATACTTGAATTTCTTGAAGTAGATGCCGGTATCAGTGGTGGTTATTTTCTTGCCATCGACAACCTTAGCTTGCTTCATCCACTTATCACTCTGAGTAAGGGTGATATATCGTCCATCTGACTTGGTGTCTCCAAATTTTGAGAAAGCCTTGAATTGGGCTTTGAAACTGGTAGCTGCCATATTCGAACTGTCGCCAATATCTGACATACTGAAATCACAAAAGTTAACCTTTTAAAGCCAAGTGGTAGCTGTATGTACCACCTGCATTAAAGGAACATAACCCTTATTTTGTATTTATGTGTATCATATGATTCTCCCCAACTGAAAAAAAATGCATATGTATATTCGAGTTTTAATGTGCAGTCCTGTGTGAGTAAAAGTCTCGCAATGGGGCGTCGACCACGTTCAAAGAGTCTATTTAACAATTTAAACTAATCAAAAACCATTAAATATAACTTGGAAGATGGCTAAACGCCTAGTTTTTCAAGCTGTTCTTTCAGACGCTTTCATGTGTGTTATTCTACAAACTCTTAATTAACTTCTGTTCCACAGAAACTTCTTTTGCTATGCTACCCTGGTAGAACATTCCTGTCCAACGGTTAGTAAATCTTTGTCTTCGGCTCATACTGTGTTCAAATGTCGGTCTCTATTCTGCGAGAAGAGGAATTTTCCGATAAAAATAGGTTTTACTTTAATCCAGTTCCATTTTAGACACATATGAATGTATTCGTCTACTATACTCACTAAAATAGTATGAAATTATAGAGTTACATTAATGAATAAGTATCTAACATGGCATGAGAGGAGCTGAGCTTGTAATTTTTGATATTGTTCGGGAGATATTCGGTTAAAATTCCACTCCACATTCTCGGGAAAAGACTCATTTTCCGATAACGACAGGTTTCAGTTTAATATAGTCGTGTCTTAGAGAGATTTAGCTTTCTACATCCACTCTACCTATAAAAATAACGTCAAGTGATTAAATTGCATTCATAAACTAGCAAGAGAGGAGTTCAATGTAAAAAATTTAACACCCCAACGAAAACTAATAAATGCATACCACATAAATCGCTTTCCCTTCTTTGAATTAAGACGAAGTGTGGTAAAGTGTAGAAAGATGAGACTGTAGTGTTTTAAGTCGTAGAAGAGTAACTTAAGACGAGCTAGGGTAGCGCGATATCCGCCTCACTTTTTCGTCCTGTTTCTGGTGCTAAGATTAACTTCTATGCTGTAACCATTGGCGACTCCCTCCCCCAACTCCCACAAATAAACTAGCATCTGGATGAGCATTCGGCGATGAAAGAAATATCTTGACGCAGGCAGGAGTTGTTTCTTGCCCAAATATACGACGTTCAGAGAAATCCGACTAGAATCTGTGACTAGTATCTCAGATTAAATACTTGAAACGACGTACCGCTAATAAAATTTAATGTCTGTTATAATTGTCAGATATTCCTAAACTTACTCGAAATACTAATCCGAGATCCCAGACTGTCAGCTGCAATGCTTTGATCTGTATTTTCAAGGAAAGGTGGGTAAATTATTGCACATTTCGAGTGTCATTGGTATGTGAAAGATTGGCGACTGAAGCAATAGTTTAAGCCAGACAACTGTGTGAGGAATGGGAACTTATCAAGAAAGCAATAAGAAAACATTTAACTTTATCATACATAGAGTACCGCTTATAGTAGACAACAAACATTAATCTTTCCTGAAAATTTAAAAAAATAACGGAACACGACTTGGATTTGATTTGTCTGATGTGTAGAATTACTTTAGACTTAAATTAGCTCTGTTTTTATAAATATTATTGGCAACACCCTACAATATAAAACGTAATATGTTCGATATCTGTTCTAATAATTCATTATAAGCTGACTGATACATTTGATATCATTGTTGATGACCTCCGTGGCCTGGTCCTATTATGCACTGAACACTCAGGTATACGTTACTAAACAAACGGCTATTCACCGTGAATACCAATTGAGGCATTGAGGCATATGTAAGGCACACGTACGTGTTGATGAAAGCCTCGTCTTTACATTTAACAGCAGGCATGGTTCATTTTCTTCATCTTTTGCCCATAATAACGTAATTAACTGTAAGACATTCGCGATAGATTTAAATACTGCGATATAATCCTTTTAAGATCACCTACATATAATATTTAACAATTCAGTTCTTGCCTCACAAAAACACAACGCGTCTCGATTACTGTATCTATTGTTGTTCGCGGAAATAATAGCTGATTCTGAAAAACACCTCATTGGGCTAAATGCATGTTTAGTGATTGTTAAAGCATGTGGTGCATACATATAGGAACCATTGAGCTTTAAAGCATTCCTCTGCAATGGATGTTTTGCATTCGATTTAATATTTCTGAGCTTTTTAAACCCTGCTTTAACCTATTAGCTAAACGCAATGTAATCAATCATCATCTCTGATATAGTACAAACAGTGACGGAGATAAAGCCACGAGTCATAAATCTACATTAGTTAAACAACAGTTGAAGTTTTAAGCCTGCCTTCTATCACAAGCACAGTTCAATAACGAGTAATCGACTCATGTCCGATTGGGATTAAGTCGGAATGGCAAAATTAATTTTCCAGCGTGAACTCTATAGATGTGTTTGAAATCGACAGAAATTGTGCTGACTAGTTTTGTTCCAGTCACCATTTATATAGTTTATGAGTCTGTGTGTCTTATATTTATATCTGGTGTTGACCTAAAAAAAATAATTTTAAACCAAGACCTTTGAGCTCATTGGCCATAACCTAAAGCAAAAATACCAAAAAGAAAAATGAGAAGGAGAAATTTCAAAATTTGTGATATTCATAGCTATTAGTCAGGAATGTCGAACTGGGTTAAAATTGTCATGTTCTATACGAAGAACATATGTCCCTTTACAAACTATCGTTGCTTTATGTTAGGTTCCTCTGTAACTTCAAATTGCTGACACTGGAAGAAGGTACGGCGATACGGCTTCTCAAACTAAATACTTGAAGTTTTGAAGCCGTGTGTCTTCGACGAAGTAGACCACAGTTAATGTAAAGCAAAATAGAGCGCTAAATATTGTGACCATGACATATATTGAGCTGATGACTACATCCCAGCCGTCATTTGCATGAGCAAATATGCCATTCCTCAACAGTGTTTGGAGTTTATTTTATCTGAACCAACTGAAAATTCCCATTATTCTCGAATTATGATGCAGGCCGTAGAGTAGACCTTCAGTACAACACTGGACCAAAACTACGACTGTGGCTTAATATCTAGCAAGTCGCCGCTTTAATCTGCAAACAATAATTAATTACTAATCAATGGTCTGCGGTAACATGTTCTGAAAACAACTGACAGCGGAACCACGGTTCCGGAGAATCTGACGTAAATACGTCTCTGTATTTAAATTATATTTAAGCAATAAATATAATGAAAGAAAGATAGCTACATGTAATGTCAAAATTATCTAGTCTACGACGCACTTCCTCTACAACCGATTCACAGCTCAGCTCTTTCCGCAATAACGAAAGCGGATTGTTGACGGCAGTAATGTAACAATGCCGAGTAAACAGATGACGTTTCCTAGGTAACATAAAAGTGCACGCAAGCTGACCATTGTTGTCGGTCCATATTTACACACTGTTGATAATGGATCTTACACGTTTTCCTTTCACTTTTTTGCCGAATGACCCTTCTGTATAGACGTATTTACGTCAAAAACTGAATTTGTGTTAGAAAGAAGACAGGCCTAAATCTCTTCCAAGAGTTCACAAATGTAAATGAAAACCTGTATATATTATAAATAATAATAATAATATTAATAGTAATTATTATTATCGAGGTTTACTCCTCTAGATCCGCCGTGTTCTGTTATATAACAGGGTGACCTCTAGTCGGATGTGGCTCTTCACCACGCACGGACGGTCTTGAGCAAGGAGAGGCTCTTGGATCTGTATTGCGCTTCACTGGGTGAGGGCCAGTGTCCAGCATAGTCAGACTATGATGGTGAAAGGTACTACCTCTCCCCATTACCTTAACCATAATAATAAATAGGATGCCCTTACCGCACTCTTTCTTCCACCGGCAAAATAAAATGGAGACAGTGAAGGACAGTGTCAAGAATTTCTTAGTAATTCACAGAAGATAAGTACTTTGGTTATTGCGAAAGACTTTTAAAAGCACAAAAGTATCTCGTCTACAACACACTTCTCATACAAGCGATTCACAGCTCAGCTCTTTCCACACT